TAATATGTAATTTAAAAAAAATGTAATGTGAAAGTAAAAAAAAAAAAGAGTATATATTAACTACTATTTACATTTTAAAAATTGTAATACTACTACACAAGAAGGGTGTGATTGTATTAATAATTAATTTGGGATAATAATAAAAATATAAATATTTTGTTGTGAATAAAAATAAGATGGATAAAAAAGATGATAAAAATTTTTTAAAATTTTTTTTTAAAAAAAATTTTTAAAAAAATTTAAAAATAAAAAATAAAAATAAAAAAATAAAAAAGATAATTTTTATTTGGAAAATTCCTCTTGATATTTTTTATTGGTTCTAGTTCATTGTACGAAAATGATTTTCAGTATTTTTATTTTTTTGGTGTTTTTGGGATTAAAATTTTATAAAAAAAAAAAAAAACCGAATTTAAATCGCCAAAAAAGTAAAATAAAAAGAATATTCTTTTTATAAAAATTTTAGATTTTTATTTTTTATTAAATGTGCCAACTTCATAAAAAGGGATAGGAACAAATCACCTTTATGTAAAATGTTTTATTTATTAACAAATAAAACAACATTGTTTATTACTATATTAGTTTAACATTTATTAATTATGATATTAATTTTTGGTAGAAATTCTAAGGGACAATACAAATGAAATTATTTGTTATAAATATTATAAAAATAATTATTATAATTATATAATTATATTTTACTTTAAACAATTACATTACTATTAATTTTTTTATATTTGACTAATTTAAACTAAAACTTTTCTAAAAAAAAAGTTTAGTAATTTAATTTATATGATTTAAAAGAATGATTACTATTTTTAAAAAAAACCATTATAATGTAATTGTTGGTGTTTCATTATTGTTACTAATCAAACCATAGTTATCCTTTTAAAAAGATCATTTTAGATTGAAAAACACATATATAAAAAAAAAAAAAAAAAAAAAACTTGTTTATATTTAAATAAAAATAATTAATATGAAAGTATTTAACCCACACTTATTTTAGAATGTGTGTGGTAGAACTGTGTTTAATTATATAAATTTATTATATGTGTGAATGTGGTGTGTGAATATTTATGTGTGTGTTAATGTAGGGGTATTTATATATATATTTGATTTATTTAATATAATGTTTTAGGAAATGTGTGAGTGTGTGAAAAAAAATGTGAATTATTGAAACAAATATGTACAATACTTTTTATGAATTAATATTTATAATTATTTTTTTATTTTTTTCAATTTTTTTTTCTGTATTTTTCTAATTTTTATTCTCAAAATAAAATTATTTATATTCTTTTTTAAAAGTAGTAATATAATTATATATTATATATATGTTATTGTTAAAAACCATATAGCGTATGTGTTGTTTATATACACCTCACGTTTAATTTGTATTTATAAAAAATAAGGTTTTTTTATTTTTTATTTTTTGTATTTAAATTTAAATTATTATATTTTTTAAAATTTTTGTTAGTTTATTATTTTGTTTTAAAGAAAATATATTTTAAAATAACTTCACTAAAAATAATATAGATAATAATATTAATAATAATAATAATAATCAATTTTATCCAAAATATAAAACTCTTTTTTTTTCATTCTATGTAGTTAAAAAATATAACTTTTATATCATTCAAACACATTGCATAATACAAATAATAAAAACAATAATTTTATTTATAATAATAACATTTTATATTTTGGGGTAAATGCCATAATATAAACATTTATATTTAATCAATTCGTATTAATAACTATTAATTATAAAATCATTGATGTATATATAATATTACCACCAATTTTTAAATCTAATATTTTTATTTTTTAAAATTATTAATTTTTAAAATATTTTTTTTTATCTGTTATTACTAATTATTATTATTATTTTTAAAATTGATAAGAATAATTGTTTTTTTTTTGTTTATTATTGCTTTGTGTTTATTTTCACAATCAAACCTATTGATTGTTTTTTTTTAATTATTTTGATTTTTTATAAAATATACAATAAGAATTAAAATTATTAACAATATTTTTTTTAAATATTACAGAAATAAAAATAATATTTTATAAAACATTAGAAAAAAGAGAATAATCAAGCTAGTATTTATATAGGTTTTTTTTTTCAAGAAATATAAATATTATCAAGTTATTTTAAAAATAATTTAATCGACTCAAGTTAGTAGTTTAAAGACTATTGATTAATACATATACATAAAAAGATGATGCACGCATTGGGTGACCTTTTCAAACCCGAAGAAAAGGAAATCACTATGGAGAGAGACCACTGTAGCTCAGGTTGTTGTGTAATTTGGACATGGAAAGTTTGTATGTAAAAAACGAATTTTATTATAATAGAAAAACCAATATTAACCTATTTTATATTTATAGTTGTTAGAATAATTTGTTTATTAGCAGGTATTTTACAAACGGCTATGGGTGGTTGGGTATTTTATACAATTGGTTCAACTAAAACAAAAACAGTAGAAAACTATTTACAACTATCAGTTATTGGTTTTTACTGTTGTTTAACTGGTCTTATGATTGTATTTGCAGAGTCAAGAACAAGATGGACAAGAAGGGCTGTAAAAGTATTTGTTTTCTTTTGTAATGGTTTAGCAAGAGGTTTAATTTATATTTTGTAAGTAGTGAAAACTAAAGAAGTACTTTTTAAAAATATAGTTATTAACAAGAGGTTTTTATAAATTAATAGAGTTGGTGCAGTTGATCAAGCCCCATTAAATGTTGAAGTATTTGGAGTTGAAAATGTACATCGTTATGTTGGTCTTGTTTGTATTGCGGGTGGTTTAGTTTCAATTGGTGAATTCTTGATGACATTCAGAAGAAATAGAGCAAGACTTAATAAAGCAATTGCAAGACACCAAGAAGAAACTAAAGGTACACAGTTATATGATCTTTTTGAAAGAGATGACCCAGTTCGTATGGATAACCCATCAATTATGGAAAAAGAAAAAGATCCAAATTACATTCACCAAGACTTGGAAATGCAACAAGTTCAAGAAGCCTAAAGTATAATATAGTAACAATAATATAATAATATAGTTTTTTTTTTAATCAAAAAAAAAGA